CGTATACACGGAAAGCCAGTGCGTAATCACAGCAACTCAGGAGGAAGAGGATAATAGCGTCCCATGGCCCATTTAAGGACTCTTGTATCTTTAATCTGTGAACGCAGCGCAAATCATGACGTTATCAAGTGAAAGATACAACATATGGTGTTAGCAGACTAAGCCTACTTTTAAAAGCTCATTGAAAATGTTCCATATCTCAAAATAAAAAAATATTATTTAAATTATTTATTAATTAAAATCGTGATTAGTTCACATACAGCATGAATAGAAAACCCCCAAAACCCAAATAATCATCGAAATATACTATTGTTTCACGTAAGTTTACATTTCGAAATAAACTAAAACCAACTGACGTAGTTTTGTAACCATGAGAGACACGATGTTGTGTTGCACCAATAGAATCCCCTCTAATCGCAGATTTTCTGTTACGGATGGAACGATTCTGCATCTTCTTGATCTGGCGTACTAGGCCTCCTTTAGACCTTAAGGAAACAAAATTAACATGAACGACTTTAACCTTTGTATCTCTTGTGGATTTTAAGACGATACGTTCCTTGACTTTTGCACAGCAATTTGTTTATAAATAGGCCTATATCTGTCTCTTATACACATCTAGATGTGTATAAGAGACAGGAGTAAGGACTAGTGTTGTCCGAAAGCTCTGGTTCTATTTCTGGCTGTTTACTTACGTTTACTTTTTAGCTGTTGCTTATCATTTTTGTATCTCTACTGAGATCCAGCCATTGTTTCCCACAGCATTGTTGTTTTTCAGTATTTTGCCTTTTAATCTATATATATATATAACTGAAATAAACTATCGCAAGTATTACAAGCAGAGTGCTCAATGGTAGACCAGAGCGGATATAAATAAATAAAAAGCGAGGTTCAACAGTAGCTTTGATCAGACATTTTATTACTCTGACACTCTGACATTACTGTGACACTCTTCAGATGTATATATATTGCATAGTTGCTGTTCTTTTTGTGTAGTCAGTATTGCATGCATTATATATAGCTCATTGCCTTAATTGTGAATATGTATTCTAATGTATGTTAATTAAACACTTGAAATTGATGTTTTTGCACTGCAGTTTCAGGAATCCCATGTAGCAGCTCTCCTTGTCTTAATGGAGGGGCATGTAACAATTTAAGAACAGCATACACCTGCACATGCCCAACCTCATATACTGGCACACGTTGCGAAAATTTTTGTGGTAAATTCTGATTTAATATTTTTGTTTTACGTGAGCTGAAAACGAGAAATTTATATGTTTTATTGTAATTTCTAATAAAAATATTTTGTAAAATTGGTTAATTATATTATTTATGCTATATAATGATCACTAACCAACTAACGTTGTACAAAATGTTAATTACTACTACAGAGAAATGATGCGATGTATCGGTGAATTTCCTTTTAACTCCGATACTATAATAATAATAATAATAATAATAATATTTAAGCATTTATATGGCGCTCTTTACCAGAGTCTCATGTTTTTAATGTTTCTTTTGCCTACTTTAATTGGTTTTTTTTTTAACTATGCTTGAATAATTTACATCTTTAATTGTAATTTAATTTTAATTCTTTATATATAATTTTGAATTAATTCATTATGTCAATTAAGAATTCAAAGGTTGTTATTTATATTACTATTAATTAATTGGTTTCATACTCTCTTTTGTTTTGTTTTACTATGTGTATTGAGAGTCCCGTAATGATCACATTTGGCTCAGATTTACCACTCTCATTAAAGATTGTTAAAAATAAATAAATAAATAAATAAACACTGTTAAATTATCATATACAGTACTAATTTGAGTAAGGCCTTAATGTTTGTGCCGATTTACAGTCCAGACGCGTGCACTCTGGAAGAAATATATCGTAGCACCATTCTTTTAAATGTTTTACCATTACTGGCATAATTTGAGCTCCTACTTATGTCTATTAAAAAATTTTTTAAATAAAAAATAAAAAAACAGTTTTACAATAACATGAGTCTGTCTGCAAACAAAATATTGGACGAGGACTGGTCACGCTACAAAGCAACACATGTGAGAATTAATCATTCAAATTGCGTTCGTACACTCGACTGACCATGGATGAAAATCTATTCCCTCCATGGAGGACTGACTGACGCAATCCCATGGAGTAAATAATAGACCGAATCGGCGACTACATTCAGGTGACATAGTGGGTACAAAATATAAACATAGGCCTACGTCGTAAACCACAGTCCGCTCATTGAACATGCTGTAGTATATTGAGAGAGTTGGTGTATGATGTTTTTTAGACAGCGACCCAAAGTATGCCTATGTTTCTTTTTAAATCGTGATTTTATAATTACTTTGGCAATCTCCGTGCATTTTATTTAGGCTCTGGAATGCTGCTAGTGGACGGTAGACATACAGTTAGGATAGGCCTACTAGGCTACGCTCAAAATGGAAATCAGGTTAAGTCAAATTGCTTAGCTTATAAATTGCTTAAAAAATTTAGCGCCATCTGAGACGATTTTTAAGCTAAGATGTTGCTAAAAATTGGGTAATAAATCAGCTTAAGATATTTACTAGGATCTAGGCCATCTGAACTTTTTTACTTAAGACATATTTGCTAAGCTGAGATTGAAAAACTAAAACTTAGTGCCTTGACCATTTTGGAAAGGTGCTTTATATATCATATTTTTATAATAATAATAATTATTATTATTATCATTATTATTATTGTGAATCTGTGAAACAGGTATACTAACTTTCTTTACTTTTTACAATGTTTTGTAAATTATTCTTATTGTATTTTATATCTGTTAATAATATCAGTTACCTTGTTTCTTTTTAATTGTTTTTAAATATTATAATGATTTTATAATTTTAGTTTTTGTCACTGTACAAGTGCCTTGACCATTTTGGAAAGGTGCTTTATATATCATATTTTTATAATAATAATAATTATTATTATTATCATTATTATTATTGTGAATCTGTGAAACAGGTATACTAACTTTCTTTACTTTTTACAATGTTTTGTAAATTATTCTTATTGTATTTTATATCTGTTAATAATATCAGTTACCTTGTTTCTTTTTAATTGTTTTTAAATATTATAATGATTTTATAATTTTAGTTTTTGTCACTGTACAAGTGCCTTGACCATTTTGGAAAGGTGCTTTATATATCATATTTTTATAATAATAATAATTATTATTATTATCATTATTATTATTGTGAATCTGTGAAACAGGTATACTAACTTTCTTTACTTTTTACAATGTTTTGTAAATTATTCTTATTGTATTTTATATCTGTTAATAATATCAGTTACCTTGTTTCTTTTTAATTGTTTTTAAATATTATAATGATTTTATAATTTTAGTTTTTGTCACTGTACAAGTGCCTTGACCATTTTGGAAAGGTGCTTTATATATCATATTTTTATAATAATAATAATTATTATTATTATCATTATTATTATTGTGAATCTGTGAAACAGGTATACTAACTTTCTTTACTTTTTACAATGTTTTGTAAATTATTCTTATTGTATTTTATATCTGTTAATAATATCAGTTACCTTGTTTCTTTTTAATTGTTTTTAAATATTATAATGATTTTATAATTTTAGTTTTTGTCACTGTACAAGTGCCTTGACCATTTTGGAAAGGTGCTTTATATATCATATTTTTATAATAATAATAATTATTATTATTATCATTATTATTATTGTGAATCTGTGAAACAGGTATACTAACTTTCTTTACTTTTTACAATGTTTTGTAAATTATTCTTATTGTATTTTATATCTGTTAATAATATCAGTTACCTTGTTTCTTTTTAATTGTTTTTAAATATTATAATGATTTTATAATTTTAGTTTTTGTCACTGTACAAGTGCCTTGACCATTTTGGAAAGGTGCTTTATATATCATATTTTTATAATAATAATAATTATTATTATTATCATTATTATTATTGTGAATCTGTGAAACAGGTATACTAACTTTCTTTACTTTTTACAATGTTTTGTAAATTATTCTTATTGTATTTTATATCTGTTAATAATATCAGTTACCTTGTTTCTTTTTAATTGTTTTTAAATATTATAATGATTTTATAATTTTAGTTTTTGTCACTGTACAAGTGCCTTGACCATTTTGGAAAGGTGCTTTATATATCATATTTTTATAATAATAATAATTATTATTATTATCATTATTATTATTGTGAATCTGTGAAACAGGTATACTAACTTTCTTTACTTTTTACAATGTTTTGTAAATTATTCTTATTGTATTTTATATCTGTTAATAATATCAGTTACCTTGTTTCTTTTTAATTGTCTTTAAATATTATAATGATTTTATAATTTTAGATGGGTTTTGTACAACTTTTTTTAAGGTTTTGTAAATTATTCTTATTGTATTTTATATCTTTTAATATTATCAGTTTACCTTGTTTCTTTTTAATTGTTTTTAAATATTATAATGATTTTATAATTTTAGTTTTTGTCACTGTACAAGTGCCTTGACCATTTTGGAAAGGTGCTTTATATATCATATTTTTATAATAATAATAATTATTATTATTATCATTATTATTATTGTTGTTATTATTATTTTATTACCTAATAACAACTAAAATAACTGGCACCTTCTGTGAAACAGGTAGATTATTTAGTAACTATTATTATTATTTAGGAATACTGTCACCAAAGAACATTCTTGACAGACCTTGATCCATTTACATTTAAATAAGATATAAAAACAACATTAATATCAATATTTTTACACTATAGTTTTTATATATTTTACTTTCTGCTATTCACCATCATACTTATCCTTGTTAAAACTGAATTTTGACTGGCACAGTTACCATACATCCATATTTATTTATTTTATTTATTTATTTATTTATTTCTGACTTTCGTGTGATAACACTTTCAGTGATGTAGCACTGGTATCACAAGTGGATCACAAGTAAAAATAATAAAAGAACTCCAAAATGAAAAAAAAAGAAATTGAACTTAAAACAAAACAAATGAGTTAAAACAAAATAGCTTAAAACTAACAACAAAATTTAAAAAGGAAAAACGCAAAAAGGAAAATCAGTAAAATTTTGATTCAATATTTTGTCTAGAAGAGAGTAAATAGAGTTAAATTATTATCGTTTAAATGATTTTTAAAAGACTGTATGAAAAGTTCAATAAATATTGTTTTAATTTCATTTGGAAGGCTGTTCCATGCTTTAGTTGCACGATGTAAAAATGTCCTTTTGCCTTGTACCCGATTCCATTTTTTTTCAATCAAGTTGTTATTAGACTTATTCCTAGTACATTGAGGGTGATTATTGTTGTCATACCATTTACATATGTACTGGTTAACATTCAAGATCACTTGGATTGCTTCTTGATAAGAGCAGTGTGGGTGATTTTGATGACTAAGGAATCTTCTTAAGAAATCTTCACTTCTAAATTATCAAGGGAAAAGTTAGTTGCCAAAATAATGATAAGTAAGTAAGTCTGCTTGTTGTTATTTTTGTTTTTCAAAAAAATGTTGAAATCATCAAACAAATGTTTAGTTTGTTATTAATTTGAAACTTAACCTCTTTATTTGTTTTCAAAGACTTGTAGTATGTAATGTTATAATTAGTTTTTTAACTTTGTGTTGAATCAGCTGGTAGTGCTTGCACTAACAATCTGTGCCAGAACATATTTTAGCTTACTCCCCTACATTCAATAATGAATATGGGACTACCTTTTACTTTTAAGTTAACTTTGTGAACATATACTAGGTATAACATTTTTTTTCATTTTAAGCTTCCATGTTTATTTTGAAAAATTATATTTAATTCATTTATTAATGCTTTATGCCATACATAATTTTCACTGATCATTGTGCCAATCATAATACACTTGTTGATTTTTATTCTGGCAGTTTCTAATGGGTGTACTGTCAATCAGTGTCAGAATGGTGGTGTTTGTCAAGCTGCAATTTCTTCATGTACAGCTTTCACCTGTTCATGCCCTTCAGCTTACACTGGAACCTTGTGTGAAACTTGTAAGTAATAATGTATTTTAAGAACATCCAACAATGACTGAAGTCGCATTTAATGAAACTGAACATTTAACAAAATCACAGTAGAATTATGATTATATTAAATACTAATATAATTTGAACAAAACTCTGGCAGAAGTGAATTAAATAAAACAAATATTGTGAGGGTGACAGGAGCACATTTGTAATCGTGTTATCGTATTATCCACTATGTTACCAGCCTGTACATCTGCATCCTGTTTGAATAGTTTAGCTTGTCTGTAACATATATTGGGTATTATTTTACTTGTCTATCTGGTTACACTAGAACCCAATGTGAGAATGGCGAGTGCTCTGACCTCACAAAGGCTGTCCGATTTTTGTTCAAACCATGAACCAAATTCTTCAAATTTTCTAATTTCTTTTTTATATTATTATTAAATAATTTATTTAATAATGCTCTATGCCATTTATAATTTTCACAAATCACTGTGCCAAACAAAAAAAACTTTTTTGATTTTTATTCTGACAGTTTCTAATGGGTGAACCGTTAATCAATGTCAAAATGGAGGTGTTTGTCAAGCTGTGACCTCTTTATGTTCTGCTTTAACTTGTTCATTCCCTTCAGGTTTACACTGGAACCACAAAAATAATAGCAGAATTATAATTATGGTAAATACTAAAATAATTTGTGGCTATAATCCTAAAATTTTCTCCTTTTTTCTAATAATAGTTTCAGCATTTCAGTTGTTTATTCAATTGTTTAACCTACAGTATGTATACTTATGATGTTTTTTCCTTGTGTTTGCTTGCAATGCAACAATATTTTGAGGGTGTGACTTTGTAAACATTTGTGTATTAACCACTGTATTTCACCATGTGAATTTTTCAAATAGTGGTTACAACAGCCTGTACATCTGCGCCCTGTTTGAATGGTGGAGCTTGCTCAGTAACATCTACTGGGTATTCCTGTAGTTGCCCATCTGGTTATACTGGAACCAGATGTGAGACTGGTGAGCTCTCTGACTCCTTCTCACTACACAACTTTTTAATTATTTGTGTAATATTTGTGAATATAATCCTAAAATTTTCTCCTTTTTTGTAATAATGGTTTCAGCATTTTAGTTGTTTATTCAATTGTTTAACCTATGTATATGTTGATGTTTTGTCCTTATGTTTGCTGTACTCATGCTATGCAACAATATTTTGAGGGTGTGACTATGTAGTCATTGGTGTATTTACACTATATTTCACCATGTGATTTTTTTCAAATAGTGGTTACAACAGCCTGTGCATCTGCCCCCTGTTTAAATGGTGGAGTTTGCTCTCTAACATCTATTGGGTATGTCTGTACTTGCCCATCTGGTTATACTGGAACCCGGTGTGAGACTGGTGAGTTCTCTGACCTCTTCTCAGAGGCTTTCCAATTTGTTTAAGCCATGAACCAAATTCCTCAAATTTTCTCTTTTACTTTTTGAAATTATTATTTATTTATTTAATAATGCTATATGCCATATATAACTTTCACAGATCACTGTGCCAACCATTAAAAAACGTATTGATTTTTATTCTGACAGTTTTTAATGGGTGAAACATTAATCAATCTCTTTATGTTCAGCACGGGAACCACACAAATAATAGCATAATTATAATTATGTTAAATACTAAAATAATTTTAACAAAACTATAACAGAGGCAGGCCCCGTAGCCAGGTTCTTCCAAGGGGGGGTTTTCTGAGCGTGAGGTCCACAGTCGAAGCCCCGGTGGGGTCGGCGAAACCCCTAAAGCAAGAGGATTTTTGTGCTTTATGGATCTAAGTAATGCTTTAAAAGCAGATATGTTTGAAAATGTCTGTGTCTGGGTGGGTCTGCAGTGCATTAGTTGGATTGGAGGACTTATTTAGAAATTTAAAGATGGGGTTTCACCAGAAAAGAGGGGGGTTTGCTAGAAAAAGGGTTTTTCCCGAACCATAAAAACCCCCCCGGATACGGGCCTGAGAGGTGATTTAATTCCAAAAATATTTTGTGGGTGACAGCAACACAACTCTGTAATTATTTGTGACCATAATCCTGAAATTTTCTTGTATTTCTAATATTTTTTTCAGCATTTCAGTTGTTTATTTAAACGCATGCTTTGATGTTTTGTCCTTATGTTTGCCTCTGATATGCAATGTAACAATATTTTAAGGGTGTTGCTTTCTAATAATTTGTGTATTTCTTTCATTTAAATGTATTTTTTATTGTTATGTATATATAATGTATTATTATTATTATATATATAATGTTATAAATTCATTGTTTAATTTTTATTAATTACTGAACCACTTTTTATGAAGAAAGAATAAATAAAGTAAAAAATTATTTACCACTATGTTTCACCATGTAAATTTTTCAAATAGTGGTTACAACAGCCTGTGCATCTGCACCCTGTTTGAATGGTGGCGTTTGCTATCTAACATCTACTGGGTATTTCTGTACTTGCCCATCTGGTTACACTGGAACCCGATGTGAGACTGGTGAGTTTCTTTTCATATTTAAAAAAAAATATTTTTGATATTAAAATATAAAACTCTTAATTAATTTAATATACTTACAAATATTTTTCAATTTAATCCCAATTATTCAAAATTAGTACAATGATAATAATACTATAGATAACAAAATAAAACTCATTCAAGTATAACGTTCCATTCATAATTATTTTCTTTTACAAAATTCTTAAATATAATCCATGCATTTTTACAAACAGGCTTACCTAGCTCTGTTAGAATTTTAATTTTGTATATTGCAAATACTGCAGTGGAATATATCTCATTTTTAATTCTGCTTTCACAGCCTATTAATAATTCTTTAACTTTGCAATTATTTGTGTGTTATTTGTGACCATAATCCTGAAATTTTCTCATATTTCTAATATTTTTTTCAGCATTTCAGTTGTCTATTCAAATGCATGCTTTGATGTTTTGTTCTTATGTTTGCCTCTGATATGCAATGTAACAATATTTGAAGGGTGTTGCTTTCTAATAATTTGTGTATTTCTTTCATTTAAACGTATTTTTTATTGTTATGTATATATAATGTATTATTATTATTATATATATAATGTTATAAATTCATTGTTTAATTTTTCTTATTTGTAAATACTGAACCACTTTTTATGAAGAAAGAATGAATAAATAAAGTAATAAATATTTACCACTATGTTTCACCATGTGAATTTTTCAACTAGCGGTTACAACAGCCTGTGCATCTGCACCCTGTTTGAATGGTGGAGTTTGCTCTCTAACATCTACTGGGTATTTCTGTACTTGCCCATCTGGTTATACTGGAACCCGATGTGAGACTGGTGAGTTCTCTGACTTCTTCTCAGAGGCTGTCTGATTTGTTCAAGCCATGAACCATATTCCAGAAATGTTGTATTTTTCCAAAAAATTATGTTTAAACATTTCAGTTGTTTATTCAATTGTTTAACCCGTGCATGTTTTGCGCGTTCAATGTTTGCTTTTCTGAAGTGCTCATGTAATGCTACTACACTAGTGTAGTGCTGTGTTAGCATTTGTATTGATCTTCCATCGCTCTTAG